GCTGGACTCCGGGTCCCCTTAGCATAGATCAGACAGAGTCAATGAAAAGGAAGTTCATTTGTCCCTGAAGCTCCAGCACAGGGATCAGGAACTGGAGCCGCACCTCCCTGCCTCCTCCTTCCCTCTCTGGCCAGTGTGAGTGAGCAGAGGTGGAGTTCTCAACTCCGTTAGAGGCAGTGGCAGTCCACTTGGTCCGCAGGGTTTGGCTCACCTGCTCTGCCCACCTCCCTGGCACTGGCTCCCACCTGGTCCTCTTGGGTGCCCTGGGGAGGCGGGCAGAGCCAAGGCTAGTGGATCAGCCAGCCGGGGCCAGCCAGCCAGCTGCTGTGTCTTCCTTGGGATCTGAAGAAAGAGCCACATTTGCAGAGGAGAGCAGAACAAAGATGTGTCTCCTGTCTCCTCTCTGGCGTCTCCCTGCTGCTGATCCGAGGCCCCGGGCTGGGAATCTGGCTTACCAACGTGGCCAGCGGGCAGGTGGCCTGTGCCCAGGAAGCTGCTGGCCTCACCACACAGCCCACCCCCTCCACGGAGTCGGAAGTGACCCCTCTCCAGCTCACTCAGACTGGGACATTTTTCTATCATGTCAACTGGATGTTGCTTGCTTTCTGTGAGAATATTTCAGAATGGATACATGTTTTCCAAACAATCGCTTCCTACCTATGTATTCTATATTAAAAGTGATTAAGTCACGTTTCTGGGGCGTAGCTGACAAGTAATCATTTGCTAACAGCACCTGAGGACACTGTAATTCTGCTCGCCGTAGTGGGCTCATAGCATCCACTGGAGATCTCCCAATCTGCTGTATCCAAAGTTTTGTAAAGAAGTTGTAGAAGTTGTTGATCTTTTTGATTTTATATTCAAAAAGTCTCTTTTTATAAATATTATTTATTATACAATGTATATACCTTTGAGTTAACTAAGATTATATATTATATAAATATATATATATTTGGAGAAAATATATTTCATCCTGCATTTTTTTTCTGTTAAGCCATTAAAGAGAAGGTAAACAAACTCACGACCTTTGATACCTTGTCCCCGGGGTGGAGTGGCCAGATGCTCCTGACCTAGGAGTATCCGGTTTGGAATGGTTTGCAACGCGGTGGCCACGGTGTGTAGAATGAGCTCATCAGGGTTGTCTCTGCTCTCTCCGCCCCGATGGCTTGGGCGTCTCATCTGCTCTAGGACTTCTAGACTGAGCTTGTTCTGAGTCAGCTGTGGATGAGGAATTTCCAGTTTTAAAACTAACCAATCTGGGCTGTAATTCATGTCAGAGATCCAAGCACATTGAAGCACATATAAATATTGTAGACACCCCTGAAGCATGGGGCCTGCGGTCAGCAGGCCATGGCTTTAGTCCCTTCCTTTCAACAGTGTTTTCAGCTCTCTTGATAGGGAAAAGAGGATCTGTCCTACTGACAGTGAAGTACCTGCAAGCGGCCTTCACCCCTGCCAGCTCCCAGCCCTGTGAGAGCAGGATACATGGGGCTGGGTGCTGGGCCAGGGCTCAGGTGGGGAGGCCACCAGCTGGGTGGGGACCCCACTCCTGGGCTACCCCGAGAACTCAGGCTGCACTTTCTTGAGGAGCACTGAAGTTCAGTTTGCAGGCACAGATGTTTCTGTGCTCAGCTACTCAGAAAAGGGACCTGCATCTGGGTTCAGAGTGACTCCGCCTTCGTTTGCTTTCTCTTGGCTTGTTTTTAGGAACTTTTTTTTTTTCAAGACTAATAAGGCAGAGTGGCAGAAGATGGACAGACATCTGTCTGCTGGTTCACTTCTGAAATGGCCGCAACAGCCAGTTTTAGGTCAAACTGAGGCCAAGTGCTTCATCTGGGTCTCCCAAGTGGGTACAGCGGCCCGGGCACTCAAGCTGTTTGCTGGCTGCCATCCCAGGTGCATTAGCTGGATTGGAAGAGGAACAGCTGGGATTTGAACCAGCACCTGTATGGGATGCATTGCAGGCCACAGTTTAGCTTGCTGAGCCACAACACCAGCCCTGGGAACACAGTTATGTCACCTTATGGCAATAGAACAGGACAGAAGCAGTCTGCCTCATGCAGTGAGGACTCTAAGCTTGGATTAGGATCAGCTGCCAGAGGTTCCTAACTTCGTCTGGCCAGTGCAGCGTCTTTCACCCGTGAAAGGCTGAAGCCACAGCACAGTTACATTTCAGCCTTCTAAAGGGCTAGATGTGTCGCTGGACACAGCCCCTCAACATTGTCCAATGCGGGCCACCATCCACCTTTTAACCTTTTATTTCACTTTCATCTTAAGCAAATGAGCACCCAAGAGCATTCTGGGTATGAAAACCTCCAAGCAGGCCAGCCCTGTAAAAGGTCCCTATTCATGCTTACCAGAACTGCTTTTTTTCTTTTTTTCTTTCTTTCTTTTTTTTTTTTTTTACGTGGCGTTAGCCATGTCCCTTGACCAAAGAGAAGACAGGTTATAGCTGTACTTGGACACCCGGTTTCCCTAGAATCACAGAGACTTCCAACATAAGAGAAAGTTCAAAAAAGAGTAAAAACATGGATCAGCCTGGTAGCCTAGTGGCTGAAGTCTCTGCCTTGCATGCATCAGAATCCCATATAGGCACCGATTCTAATCCTGGTGGCCCCGCTTCCTATCCAGCTCCCTGCTCGTGGCCTGGGAAAGCAGTCAAGGACGGCCCAAAAGCTTTGGGATCCTGTACCCATGTGGGAGATCTGGAAGAGGCTCCGGGCTCCTGGCTTCAGATTGATGCAGTTGTAGCCTTTGCAGCTGCTTGTGGTGTCAATCATCAGATGGAATCTTTCACTGTCTCTCCTCCTCTGTATATCTGACTTTCCAATAAAAAAACAAAAAAGAGCCACAATAATCCAATGAAAGGATGCCTTTCAATGCCATACTATTTGATGGAAAATAGGGCTACATCATAGCACTTGTCATCTCTGAGCTTTAAGGAGTCCCATTTTTCATCAAATGGCAGGAAAGTGGGTCCCTGCTCTGGCCCTCTGGGTGTAGACGGCAGACCCACTGCTTTTACAGGCATTATCACCTTCCAAGCTTTTATGATTTGTTGGAATTTGAAGGAGAGGCTTCTGTAATTTTTAGGCTATGAAAAGTCACTCTTAAAGCAAAATATACTTCAGATTTTAACCAAAACAATTTGCTTTTTCTGTTAAAGTGTCTCAGGAGATGTGCAAATTTAAGAAGGGTAAGATCATCCCCTGAGATTTTAATTACAGTTTCAGACTGAAAACCAGCGCACTAGCAGAGGGAGGAGGCCCCTTGCTTCCTTGGCAGGCCCGGTTGTCATCCCAGCCACACTGCGGCCCTGCACCCGCTTGGACGGAGCCTCAGTCCCCTCGCAAAGTCTGTGCTGCTGTAAGCCTGGCCTTAGCGTCTTCCTCCCAGAGCTTCTGGGGAGCTGACCCTGCTGTCAGAGATGCCCTTGACGCTGCCCTCTGCCCTACAGAGTCAACGCTCTGAGCTGCCTTTGGTCCCATCCTGAGCCAACACAAATGTACGGGGTTCAGGCTCAGAGATTTGACAGCCTCATAAAGGTGCAAAAACTGGAGGATATCAAAGCAAACCATGGGAAGGAACCTCATTGAGAAGGTTGAGGTTCCTTGGTTTGTGCTTTTCACAGGAAGGAGTAGTCATTTTGAAGTTTTGTTGTTTATTTGAAAGGTGCGCGCATGCGTGCGTACACACACACACACACACACACACACACACACACACACACAATCTTCCATCCACTGGTTCACTCTCCCGATGCCAGCGATAGCCAGGGCTGAGCAAGGCTGAAACCAAGTACCTGGAACTCCATCCAGCTCTCCCATCTGGGTGGCAGCAACCCGAACATGTGGGCTGTCATCTGCTGGCTCCTGGGTGCTTTGGCAGGAACCTGGATTAGCAGTGGAAGTGGGGGCCAAGTGTAATGACTCAGTGGCTGAATTTTCACCATGCATGTACCAGGATCCCATATGGGCATTGGTTCATGTCCTGGATGCTCCACTTCTCATTTGGTTCCCTGATCGTGGTCTGGGAAAACAGTAGAGGATGGCCCAAAGCCTTGGGACCCTGACCCGCATGGGAGACCCAGAAGAAGCTCCTGGCTTTGGATAGGCTCAGCTTCAGCCATTGTGGCCACTTGGGGAGTGAAATCAGCAGACAGAAGATCTTTCTGTGTCTCCTCTCAGTAGATCTGCCTTTCTAATGGAGATAAATGGGTCTTAAAAAAAAAAAAAGAGTACAGCTGAGACCTGATCTTAGATACTCTGATGCAGGATGCAGGTGTTTCAAGCATTATCTCCCCCTTTAAACAAAAGAAAGAGCGAGTGAAAAATGCAGAGATCTACTAATCTTCTCTGTGCTGTCTCACCAAATGGCCTCAGTGGCTAGGGCTGGACCGGGCTAAAGCCAGGAGCCTCTTCTGGGTCTCCCACATGGGAAGCAGGCGCTCAAGCCCTTGGGCCATCTCCCACTGCTTTCCCAGGCACATCAGCAGGGAGCTGGATGGGAAGTAAAGAAACTGTGACTTGACCTGTCGTCCATACGGAATGCTGACAACACAGATGTCAGCCAAAATAGAGAGCCAAGGATCTTCCACTCACAGACTCCCTCTCCAAAGGCCTATGCTAGATGGGGCTGGGTCCAGCTGAGCCAGGATCCCAGAAATCTAATGTGGGTCTGGCGTGTGGGTGGCCAAGGCCCAGGGACTTGAGTCACCACAGCTCTCTCCTGTGGTGTGTATCAACAGGAAACTAGACCTGGAAGCGGAGCTGGGATTCACACGGAGGTATTCTGATATGGGATGTTGGTATTAGCCATGCCAAGCAATCCCGTAACTGCTGTGCTGGATTCACTTTCCAAGAAATTTTTAAGTAAAAACCATCACCTGCTACGCTGGCTGTAACAAGACAGGGATGGGCTTCTTTTTGAGCCCCACCTTCTTTGTGTGTTCCTGTCATTGTCTGCACTGCTTGGTATAAAATACTGGCTTACAGAATTTATTCAAGTATATTTACTCTTTATTGCATTCCATCATTTGCATTAAACAATATAATATCTGTATTTTTCAATATAACTTTGGACACGACACAAAGACATGAACTCATTCAACAGGAGACACAATGTGTGCTGCTGCGGGGGAGGAGGGGAGGCAGGGTCAGTGCTGGCTGAGCTGACCCAGCCACTAGCCACCAGGAACCACACAATTTCACAATACAGTCGTCCACTTTTTAAAAAAGCCACAAAATAAGCTGGGGCTGAAAAAGCGAAACAAAGTAGCTACGACACTCCTCTCTCGCAGAAGCATCTAGATAGCAGGGGCTGCGCCCTCCCCTGTGGGGATGACAGAGTCACGCCAAGGGCCACTGTGATTCCTGGGCAGTGTCCCTGCATTCTGAGCAGCAGTGAGGAGACAGTGGCAAGCTCCCCAAGCCTCACCCCGGGTCTGATGGCCGGGCTCATTCTTGGGGACTCCGAGGTGAGAGAGACCGTCCCTCCACCCCTCCAGGGCTCCAGGGGTCCTTCCTGCCTTGGGTAGAGGTATGTGGAGGACAAGGGCTGTGTGCTATGGGCGGGAAACTGCTACCTTGTCCTGGATGGCGATGGTTTAGAGGTGCTAGACAGTATACCGGTAATTTAAAATAAAGGGAAGGCAAATTCTAAGTAAGTCATTAAGCTCAGGAAAAAAAGCAAGAGTGGTGATGCTGACTAATAAGGCTTTAATGTGATGCTAAGGAGCTGACCCACTTAGAGTTGGACCCTAATTAGTGCTGGGAGGTTTGTAAATGATTTCATTTTAATAACTCCTTTCTGTTTAGGGTGTACACTTGCTCCATCTTTCACAGGTCTTTAGCATCTAGCAAGTGGTGGTGAGCATACTTCTCACCACAGAGCGCCTGACTTGAGAGCAAACAGTCACGATCTAACTGGGGACCGCAACCTGGAAGCACTTCCGGAAATATCAGAGAAAATGTCTTCGATGTCCATCCAAACACCCCACTACCTTTGTGTTGCCACTGGAAAGTGGAAGACAGTCCTCAGGAACCACCTTTTTGTCAGGCCTCCTGCTTTGCACACAGGCTGCTAGCCTGCAGCAGGCCAGGCACTGCCTTGCAACGCTCGCTGCTTCTGCCGGGAGCTCTGCAGGTGGGGTGGCGGGGAGCTTACTAAACGTAGTGTTCACGAGCATGGAATGTTTCACCTGTGGAGCTTCTAGGTCGGAAGGAGGCAGCCGTAGCCCGAGGGGTCAACCGCAGCATCCTACAGCCACTGTGCGCCTTCCACCAAGCATGAGAGGGTTCCGGGAAGCGGACGGCGGGGAGCGTCATTGCACAAATCATGCAGCGCGAGCACATGTTGAGGGTAGATAACCTTTCGCTGAGTCCATATCTGGAGGAGAGTGAAGATCCCAGGCTCTCTTCGCCTTGGTCACTGCATCCCACAGACAGTTATGTTCAGTCAAAATCCAGGGGGCTACTGCAAAGAGATGTCCAAACCAGAACACAGCTGAGCATCTGTGAGGAGCTCCTCGCCACGACATCACCCACAGCTTCCCAACGTCTTTCCTACATTTTCCCACTATGCATCTGCTGTAAGGTGAGCATCTCACAAAAGACAACGGCCACAGCTCCATGCACTTAAAAGCAGGTTCTGATAAATATGTACCATCGAGTTTTTGCCTGCATTGTGACAAGGAAGTTTTGCGAAGCAGGACAGGGAGAGAAAACCAACAGAATCAACTTCCTTGCTTGGTCCCTCAGACCTACAACACAGTGGAGAAGCCTAATAAATGAAGGCAAGGTTACTTAAGAAAGAAGTGGTCACGTTCATGTGCACTGGGCAGCCACCCTTGGTACGGGTGCTGGGGTGCTGGAGGGTCAGGGAGCTGGGCCAGTGGCCTCGCAAGCTGGCTGTACTCACGCTCCTTCTTCACGCAGGAGGGCCAGGAACTTCCTCACGCGGTACTCAGGATCCATCTAAACACACAAGACGGGACAGAGAGGGGTCAGTGGTGTCGCTTGGTAACGACGCACACACTCCTGCCAAGGCTGTGCGTGACTGCACACCCACATCCTGATCCTGCCGCACCACAAAGTCCACTGTGGTGCCCAAGGGAGGCACCTGGGTTTCCCAGTGTGGACACTGTGTCCTGGGTTCCAGCAACCTGGCTGGCTGTTGCTCACAGGCCTTGACAGGTACCACCCACCTATGAGGCAACACTGGGACCAGAGCAGTGTCCCCGTGGGGGCTCACAGGACTTCTGACTTACAGGCTCACCCAAGGCAGAAAAGACCAGACTTGGAGAAACCAAACAGGCTGCTTAGACAACTACAACCAGCTATTAGCAACTCCCCAGGAGCAACAACCCAGCCTCCGTTGGCCTTGGTCTCACTTGGTTAGTGTCTTCATGTGATGAACACAAGCTTGTGACTGCTCTGCCCTGGAGAAGAACCCATGTCTGCCATGACCGTGACCATGACCGTGACTGCTAAGGAATCCGAACAGAGGGCAGGGCAGGGACTCAGGCGTTTGCTTGGAGAGCCACACTATTGATTTCTACTGTTTTCTACTTAATACTCACACTGATTTGTTCAAATACACTTTATTCTCACTGGCCCGCCAGAAAATGATCATTCAAAACATCTTGAATTCCTCAAGATGAATTTTTATTGAGAGCAGTACACCTAACTTCTAAAATATGTTCTGGGCAGGAGTCTGTTTCCCAAGAGGGAACTCCCTGCCCTCCAGGGAGAACTTTCAAGCCGGGGAGCAGCTGTGGGCAAAGGTGCAGGTGGATTCCCCCTCTGACTGCTCCCCCCACCCCCAAAAGGACTTCTCTGCCTACCCTAGAGAGCCACTGAACAGAAGTTTCAAATGTATCAAAGTTAAGAGGGCTGACTACAAAGGACTAAGAAAAAGTGTAAAGAGCTAACAAAAGAAACATTTTTTTCCTCTTTGGGAATAGAATTACATATGAATCAATTGTCAAGTTCTTTAAAAAAAAATGAACTGGCTGGAGCTCGGCTGTAGTCAGTCAGTACTTGCAGGCCTCTGCCCATTAAACGTATTTAATATGTGTGAGCAACGACTTACTGACTTGCCTGTAGCTATGGAATTAAAAGTCAAGAGAAAGGGAGGAAAAAAGTAATCTAGATAAATGACTTTATTCCCTCAGGTGACATCCAGTCAGAGCAGATCCTGTGTGCCGTGCAAGTTTTGACAGAGTCGTGGAGGGGGAACAGAGAGGTCACGTGACTGCCCCTCGGCCCGCCCGAGCACATGCCTTTGCACTTGGGCTCGGCTCCCTCTGCAGACCTAAGGTGAATCCACTCAGCTGCAGGAAACCCACAGGACAGGCAGGACTGCAGGCTCAGAGGCCCACGAGGTGGCCGAGGCGCCCCGCAGGCGTGGCGCCCCACGCCCACTTTCTGTCCCGTGACCTTAGGTGGCATAAACTTGCTTGTTGACCTGCAGGTGTCAATGACTCAGGAGACGGTGGGGGCTAGGGGCTGGGAAGGGAAACCCATAGAGCTTTTCTCTGCAATTATCAAAAACAAAAACAAAAAGTGCTGAAACTTACATGAAAGTGCAGAGCTCATTCTGACAGCCCTTTTTGTTGCCTGAAATGCTAACCCAACTGCCCAGGCAAAGTGGCCTGCAACTTAGACTTCTAGTTCATAATGGAAAACAAAAAGTCCCTCTGTAAGCTCAGTAGTGGAACCCTTAGGTTTTAGAAAACCACAGAACTTGCCCGTAAATCTTCGGAAGAGACTGGAGGGCATCGATTTGTACTCGGTCCACGAAGTCTGTTTCAGTGGAGCTGCGAGGCTTCCATGGCACTGCTGCCACCGCTGCCACTGCCCACCACCCACCGGCTGAGCGGCTGGCCATTCAGGATGGTGCACGATGCCCAGAAACACAGCGAACAGAGTCACTCATGTCACCAACAGTGGCCTAGGTTCCTTGCTGTGTGCCCAGCTCTGCTCCAGGGAGCTGTGGCCTCAATGAGAACCACGGTGCCCACCTCCCAGTCAGCAGGGGGCAGATAAGCTGAACAAGAAGACACAGGATGGGCACATGAAGGCGTGAGGTTCCAAGAGGGGTAAAGCAAGTTGCCCATGGACAAAGATCCAGCAACATCTCCTGTGGGGCCCAGCAGCCGAGGGACCCAGTTTTTGGTACGATCCTGGACGCTTCAACCCTGTCATCATTTGTCTAGGAGCACAGCCAGGGCAAGATGCACAGAGCCCTAGGCCAGGCTGTATGACTCAATCAGCCTGTCCCTGACAACAGTGGTGTGGCGTGGTGGCCACCTGGGTGTGGGTGCAGGTGTGGTGGCTTACTGGGCACTGATGGACACTCCCAGCCCTCCTCACTGGCCCAGTGACCTTACACAACCACTGCCTAACTGCCTGTGGGACCCACAGCAAGTCATCTCTCAAGTGCGGGTCAATGGAACATCTGTCTTTCCCAGTTCTTTCCAGTTCTAGGATGCAGCAACTGCCCAAAGTAAAAGTCAGAGTTAACTCTGTAACCTAGAGACTTGGACGCTGCCCGGCGAGGCCTGAATCCCAGAAGGACATGTCTTACTTGCAAGGACATCTCAATCAGCATGAGCAGCTTCTTGATTCCTATCCAGACCTTCTTGCCTTTGACTTGCTGTGCAATTGTGGTGCGTTCCTTATCCTTAAAGTTGCCCAAAAGCTACAGAAACAATAAACAAAAACAAGAGCATGCTTGCAGCAAATACGTCAGCAATGTCACTTAGTTCTTACAGTTGTCCCTAAAGAGCAGCTATGAGAACTACTTGTGTAAGGCTGATAGGAATCACTCCTGTTTTATAATCCAGTCTGGCCCTTCCAAGGCCATCAGTTGCAATTACAAAAGTAAAACTTGGATCTGACACCCTGTTTTCCTGCAGCCCTCCTGACTTGGAGATGCATTTGTTGGGGGCAAGACAGCTCCATTCCATAACAAATGTAAGTGAAAATTTCTAACATTCCTTTCTATGAACACTCTGCATCTGTCAAAACAGACTCAGCTGAATTCTCTTGCCCACCCCAGCCTGAGAGCTGCTCAAACAAGCAGCCTGCAAACATTCATCATGTAGACAATTTTCGTTTTGCTGGGAGCACACATGGACCAGCAGGTCCCGGGGACTACCCGCTGCTGACCACCTCACTGGGTGAGACTGTCCAACAGAGCGCATGTCATCTGTGCATACTGACACACCAGCAGTTTAATGAACATAATTTTAAGCAATTCAAGACTGTCATCCTTATGAAGCTTAAGAAAACATCTCCATATTATGTACTTATGAACAGAGTTCCATTTCTGAAATTTCTAAGACTTTAATCATTGCTCCAATTTATTAAATGTGGATGGAGCCAATCCCAGGAAACGAATGCATCTAGGCGGTGACACCATTATCCCAGGTTCCTGGAGAAAATCATCCAGACACCTTCATCATGCCGGCAGCGTGTGCGCCGCCTGCACGGAGGACAGGGCAGTTAATCCGCTGTCACCGACACTCAGCATCCTTATACGATTCCTGGAAACCAATGGAGGTAATATCCCAGCACCTCCCTTTCTAGGCTGACTCAGAAAGCCAACGGCAGGAGCATGGCTGCCGTGCTGCTGGGGAACACTGGGAGCGTGGCTGCCTCACCTCCAGGGCTTCCAGCAGCTGCTCTCCTGTGGCGATGTTGGGCACGTGGATGGTGGTGCTGAACGCGTTGAGCATTTCCATTTCTTGCAGGACATCTTTGCGGCTAGTGGTCCCGATGATCAGAAGCTTGCGGCCCTGATCGGAGCAGAAAATGTTAAAATGCACAGTAAGCTTAGTTAGGAAACCAGAGCAAGGCTGAACCAAACGTGTACAATCCGCTGTTCCAATCATGGGAATAAAAATGATGGAGTCAGAGAGGAAGAAAACTCAGGATTTTCTTAATAAAAACCTAAAAATGGGGCATCAACACACTGCTTCAGAGAGAGGCTGTCTTCGGCGAGCTCCTGTCCCCACTGCTGCAGCAAGTGCCCTGGTAAACCGAGGAGATGCACAGACGGATCGGGCCCAGGTGTATGTGTGTAACTCCTTCAGCGCAAACACAGCACAAGGTGGAGCGAATTAGGGGGGATGAAGTGAATGAAGAGAGTGTATGGCCAGCTTAGCAAGGCCAAGCTTAACAAGCAGATGACTTATGCTTATTACATGCGACATGTAACAAAGTCAAAGGCATAACTGTCTCATTTTATATTTTTGTTTCATATTTTCTTTTTTAACCCCCAGGCTCATGGCCACCATTCCTAACTTCCTTTCTTCAGAACCAACCATCTTCCGTTATCCTAACTTTTCTTCTTTTCCCATTGCGAGGTCCGTCTACAATGGTTAGATTTCTGCTTTCGTCTTTACATGTTACTGACCGACTTCCCACTCTGGACGATGGGGATTTACTCTTACTTTTGTGCTGCTTCCACTATAGGCCCAACACAGTTAAGTTCGCATTCAGTATTTATCACAAACACATGACTCACAATTAAGCCACAGTGCTGTTGCATCTCCCTTCCTGGCCAGGCTTTTGTTTTGACTGGAGCCAAGAACTGTCTTTTCCCTTTCTGTTTAGTTGACCAGGCTCTTAGCATAAGCTCTTCTTTAAATAAACACAATCATCAATCTCCTTCCAAGGCGTGGAACTCACTAGAGAAGTTCAAGTGTTGCTGTTTTTAGGAGACACTGCCCTCCTGGAGTGTCTGTCTTCACAGCCAATGGAGGCTGACCACTCCCCAGGCCTGTTGCTGAGTCTTAGCTCTGCAAGCTTCTCCCTTCCCTATCAGCCCTCCAGGATCCTCACCTTCCTCCCTCTTCACTTGCTTCCCTTCCCACAGTCAATATGCCCAAAGGCTTGCTGAGAAAGACAGCATGGGCAGTAACAGTTCAAGACTGTGCAGGTAAGAAAATGCCTTGATTCTTCCCTTAGTCTCGTGTCCTCTATTTCAAACGTACGGCTTTGCCTAGCTATAGAGTAAGGTCGGAAAAGAAATGTTCTCAAACAATTCCGAAGGCACTGCTCTTTTAATTTTCAGAGTTGCTGGCTGGAAGACCAATGCCATTTGATCTCTGACCCTTTGTTTCTAACCTGTTGTTTTAAATATAAGTTCTTAAGAATCGTTATGCTTATGTTCTGTAATTTGAAAATTACACACCTTGAGACGGGTCGTCTTTACTCACATTGCTGGCACCAGATGAGTCCTTTCTACACTGGAAATTCCAATCGTTTAGTTCTAGGAAATATCTTGGATTGCGTCTTGAGATCGCCTCCCCTTCATCTTCCCTGTGTCCCTGTCCTCTGGTGGTCCCCACTGCTTGGATCCTGGTCCTCCAAGACTGATGCCAGTCTTTAAATTTTGCTCTTAGTTTCTTTCTTTTTCTCCCTACACTTTTTAGGTTACAAGCAATTTTAACTTCCAATCTTCATGCTAACGTGCTTTTTTATTCCTAAGCGCCCAATCCTGGTTTCTGAATGTCTCCTTTTCTAATTGTGAGGATTGTCTATTTAGGAAATGATGTTTTGTTCCCTGCTTTGCTTCCTGTGAGATATATTTTTTTTAATGTCCCCCCTCCCCCGTTTGGTCCCTTGGAGCTCTTCTTCAGCGTGGTGATGCTCGGTGAACCTTCACACTGCAGCAGGAGACCAACGACCAGAAGCTCTGCATCCGAGGGCCTCATGACTGGGCTGCTGGTGAGCCTTAGCTGCCGAGGTTCCTTAAGGGTCAGGATACGTGGGTGGCACAGAGACCTGGGAATCTCCCCACTCACTGCAGAGCTCGTGACTTAACCCTGCTGCCCTCCTGAGAGCCGTCTCTCGTTTAACACTCGTTACCATCAGGGCAGTTGGGAACTTGCATCATTTCCGTTTGCTGAGGCTATTACGTCTCACAAATGTAAGTAATTTGTTCAAGGTCAAATAGCTAATAAACCAAAGAGCCAAGATTGGAAACCAGACCTAGGCCCAAATAATCTGCTGCTGCCTCTCCTCAAGAAACATACACACACACACACACACACACACACACACACACACACACACACACACACACACACACACACACACACACACACTCTTTAAGAAGGTTCCTTGGGAAAATGGAATGTTTCAAACTTACGTCATTAGATTTAAGAAATACACTCAGTTCTTAGATAAGGCTCTAATACAATCATTAAACATACTCAAGGATCTTAGAAACTTAGCAGATTAAAATTCAGGAGCTAGTAGGAAAAGAACTTAAGAAATTAAAGACCAGATGCCCAAACAATTTCAAATATCATGCCACTATTGTCAATAACGCTCACGCATTAATTCTGCCCACCTGCTACAGCAAGGATGGACAAGGCACCACTACAAACAGGCATATTCAACAAGGTGGAGACCGTAGGATCAGCCACCGGTATAGCAGGGAACTGCGCAAAAACCATGAGACAGAAGCCTGACTGTGAAGCAGACAGACAAAGGGTGATTATTACTTAATAAATCAACCACTAAATACAAATACCACAGATATTTAGCAAGTTTCTAAATGAATATGGAATGACATTAAAGAGTGAGGGGGACAAGAGCTCGTCACAACACAACACGGTAAAGTAGAGGTGCTGCACTTAAGGGTGTTGGGTGGAGGCAAGAAACGCAGCAAAGAAAGCTGCTTCCTCTGGAGCTGATAATTGCTGAGTAAGTTATACGGAACCATGAAGGCTGGCGAAAACGAAGGGGAGGGTTACTCTAAGCCAGGAGCAGACACACATAGCCAAGCCCAAAGGGGGAAGACAAATAGGCTGGGATAACATACACGCTTCTACTAGAAAAGGAAACTAATGCTTTGCTCCGTGTTTTTTACACTAACTCCTATGGGTAAAATTCGGACGTTCTCCCTGAAGGCTTATCAGTGCCAAAGGCCACACGTGCCAGAACGTCCTCATTATCGTGAAGGGCAACTGTTACTTCTCCTTTTCCTTGCATTTTTAATACAACATGGCCCATAATTCATCCTTCCTCATCTTGTCCTCCTCTCTTGAGGACAATGCTGCCCCTGAAAGAAGCTTCTCGCTCTTTCCAGAAAGCTGGACTTTGCAAATCACCACCATTTTCCTAGTGAAACTCTCCTATGTTAACGGGGACTGTGTTCTTCAAAGTGTTGAAAGATTGGGAAACACAGGGCAACTTATAATGGAGCTGCTAATTTATGTTTTGCTTTTCTTCTTGTTTAACAAGACTGCAAACACTGGAAGGAGGTCATGACCCAGGCAAGTTCAGGCCTTGACTCGTAAAGCATCATCTTTAAGAAATACCGAAAAACATTACCAAATAATTAAATTATGCCGGGTCATTTTGTATATTAATTAGTGATAATGCGCATAAGGAAGCTTTATCATGAAAAACCAGCTCTGAAGGTATTCATGCAATAAATCATGCTGGCTAACATTTGAAGGGAAAAGCTGCCAGCAGCACGAACTGGGGATGCAGTTTTAGGAATAAAATTAGCAGGTGAGGGGATGGATACTCTATGCAGAGGCTGACAAGTACCCTGGGGTGCCTTCATCCCTGTCAAGAGTAGCCACTCTGCTTTCCACCTAGCGTCAAGCCAATGGGCAGACATGATGACTCAGGTAGCTGGGTCCTTGGCATGTATGTGGGAGACTCCGAAGGAGTTCTGGGCTCCTGGCTTTGGCCTGGTCCAGTTCCAGCTGTTGTGGATATTTGGAAAGTAAAGCCGGTATATGGAAGCTCTTTCTCTGATGTTCTTTCAAATAAATAAATACAAATAAAACCAACACAAGCAGACTTCATTCCAGGAGATGAGTGTGGGGCTAAGTGCAGTCCACAGAGCCCCAACATGCCTCTTGAAGCAAAGACCAACACAAGGCAAATGATCACCTAGTCGGGGAAAAACTGCTCCGGTAGCTCCTTGCTGAACTTCGCCAGTCCTGATGCTAGAAAGAAAAGACCTAAATAAAATGACTATCTGCCAATCGGATTATGATAAACATTGTTCCAAGGTTAAATAAGTATTAGTTAACTAATTCTCAGCGCCATAAGAAGCAACTCAGGTGAAAACATTACCATGAAAAAGGCAGGGCTCAGTCAGGTGTTGATCCTTCAAAAAAACCACTTCTTTACACGCTGAAGAATGCCTGGAGCACTAAGCGGCATCTAAGCCTTTTGCCACACAAAGGGCTGACCAGATAATCCACATCCTTTCATAGGTCTTGCCCATTGATTGGCCCTAATAAACTGATTTGTAACAAAAGTTCATGTGGAAGAAGGCTTATTTTCCCCCGACATAAAAATGCCACCAATATAATACTGCAGTGAAATGGAAGGGCTGATTTCAACCTATGAACAAAAGTAAAGTCAGTTATGCAGGAAAGAAAGGCCATTCTTCCCACATCATTCAATGGTGAGTGAGCGTAATACACCGTTGATAAGAAGAATTAACTGTGAACAATTGGAAATCCTGAAATGGATTAAGAAATTTAGGTTTAGTGAGTTTGAAAGTGCAACTTGGGTGGGGGGGTGGTCTTCAATTTTATTTTCTGTTAGAATCTGTGGTTTTGCCAGTGAGAGTGAAAAATGTTAGAACATGAAGAATCTACATACTCAGTAAGTGAAATATAAAACAAGCATTAGCCAATGGAATGATGAGATCTGGGTTGTGCCGCCCAAATGATTACAATTAGCCAGAAAAAGCAAAGAAATACTCAGTGACCTCTATCAGACAGTCCTGTGACCAAGGACAGTCTTCCTGAAGCGG